CTGTATTGTTCAGTATTGCCTATTAATGAATTATATATGCAGATGGAGTAAATTGTAATCAAATTTGTAGATGAGGAAAATAGGGGAAACCAGTGATATGCAAGAGAACAGCAATTGCAATTTTGAATAAAATTGAATATATTTTCAGTTAAAGCTCAGAAATCAAATACACAAGTATAAATTGGGAACATTGATGGAACAACGTTATTTGTTAAAGACATCTGGAGTGATAGTTAATTCCAAATCAAATATGAATCAACAAATTGATGTGGTTACAGCAACAAAAAAGAAACTTTTAGATAAAGTTAGACAGAAAAATGGGTTAGAGGAATGCGAAAAAGAATGTCTTATTTTCTGGGTATATCCGTACTATTCTAGTTAATAGTGTAAATTGAGAAAGTATATTCCTAGAAACCTCTATTCACCATGAAATTGTACAGTGCTAAGAGCAAGGTTGATGAAGTAACCAGATATAACCAGAGATTATTTCACTGCATAAAATTTTGCTTTCAGAACTTTTGAAAGGCACTCATGTAAGCCTCTGATTATTTATTTATGGAAAAGCAGAAATGTGCTTTGAAATACAAATTCAGGTTCTTAGTAAGATAGATTTTATAGGTATAGTGAAAAATAACTGAAAGAAGACCATAAGGCCTCTCTGTCAAATGGATTTCCGGTATTAGTAAATTAAAGCCCTGGTTACTTGACTCTGAAATATCATTAATGCAGAAAGAATTAAATTAAATTAAGAATAAAAAACCAACATAGGTAGAAACATCTAAATTTATTATGTATTTAAATTAGATATTTATTATTTAAATATTCTAAATATAAAATATTTTAAAATTTACTCTTCACAAAAGCAAAAATATTGTTAGTCTTCTGAAAAAAATGATACATAAATGTAAAACATACACAATTCCCTAAACAGTGTGAATATATTCTCTCATAAAAATGTACAATACTTATAAATCTAAGCTAGTCATTGCTTAATTCAGAATGGTAATTATAGTATTAGGAAGGTAAAAAAGATTGTACAATTATCTGGGCACTATGGACACTTTCACAAGAACCCTTATTAAACTTTGTAATTTTGATCGAATTCTCTTGGAAGAGGGAATTTATTTTTGATCAATTTCTCTTGGAAATAATTAGAAATATTTAGAGTGGTATAACTTGTGCACATTCTACCCTCTACTCCACATGTTTTCATAAACAACAAAATAACTTATAAAACTGGAAAAAATAATTTCTCATTAACTAAATTAAGAGGGGAAAGTCTCTACGTTGTCAGTACTGAAACGGACATGGGACTTAAATTACTCTATTTAGCCTGTCTTTTATTTTCTATTATTGGAGGAGATGTCTATGGCAACAAAAAGTCATAAGGGGTCCAGTAGTTCCTTTTCTAATTTCCAAATTAAAAGCTTTCATGAGCTTGTTTTTAAATAAAAATTTGTTAATCAGAAAAGTTGCTACCAGACTCCTGATTTTTCTCTCATTTATTGCAAAGGGGTCATTTGCATTAAGAAATAGATTGCCTTATGCTGTGGTTTTTCTCCAGATCTAAATGGATCTAAAATAAAGGGACTGTTTTTAGAACATATATTCAATTAAATTAAAATAACTAACTACTGAATATTGTAGCACTGCACTAGTGCCATCTCATGGAGAAAAATGGGATTGTAAATTATGTAAATATGGAGATTCTGTTATTCAGATCACGGTTGTCCCAAAGGTGCTTTTTCAAGAGGCAACTGGACTTTCTGTTTTTTCTCTTGTTGAAAGGTGTCAAAATGCCTTTCTTTCGAGGATTTGATTTTCCCGCTGGGAGAGCTCCGGTGCAAGGATACAGACAACTGCTTGAAAACTGGATCTTTTTATTTTTTAGGAAGGCGGGGAACAGCGAGAAGTCTGTGTTCCTGGGCTAGCTAGCTTCTTATGGTAAGTCCCTGGTTTTTATTCCCTTTTCTCCCTTTGTAAGTTGATTTTGTGTGAATGTTTGCATTTGTGCTTAATGTTTAAAATCCTGTTCGAGTTTGTCTTTATTCCCGCCGGAGGGTAAACTCCGCAGGGTGCGGAAGGCAAACTCTGCGGGGTGGCCAGATTGTATTATTGGTTTTCTCTAATCTCTTTTAGCTTTAAGATAGTTTTTCATATTTGTTCTGTGGCAATCTTCTGTCTGTCCCTTTTGTAATTTATATTTTGTGTCTTTTGTCTGTTTGTTTTGCTTATTTGGTATGTCCTGTGTTTGTAAGGGTTTTCTAAATTATCTTTTTGTTTCCTTTTCTTATTTGTCTAGTTTTCTTAATTACTTAGGCTTTTTTCTATAGGGATTCTTTAATACCTTTTTTATTTGATTCCTTTTCCTATGTAAGTTTGTTTTTATGGCTGACCTGATGTTCCCCTTGGGCTTTTCCTGTTTTTGTGACACTACTGTCTTCGTGAAGTTCCCTTTCCACACTCTGAAGACATTTCGCTTCTCATCCAAGAAGCTTCAGCTCTGTAAATTATGTACTTTCAGTCCCTAATGCTTGTAATAAGACATAATGCAGCTGTTGTCTGTCTCCTTTTATAGTACAATAGAATCAATCCTGTTTTGAGCAAGATGGCAGGCAGCAAGATAGCAGGCAACCTGGGCAACTTTAAGATTGGATGAACTTTAACTTCCAGAATTCCTCAGCTACATAAGCCATGCAAGAAAAACAAGATCTAATTTGGTGTATAATAAGGGCTACAAAGGATTGCAGTAGAATCTGTTGCTCTTTCTCCCTACTGTAAGTTTACTTTACTTTACTTTACTGTCATTGCACCTTGTACAACGAAATCAAACACCATCTTTAGTGCACATCATGATCATGACCATGAAAATAAACACAAACACACATCCTTCACCCTTCACACATTGAACCGGAAACCCCCAACACCACACCAACACTGCACTATACAGCAGAATTCAAAAGAGCTACTGCCCTGGGATAGAAGCTGAAATCTAGCAAAAGTGTGGTTTTCAGAACTTCAGTTTATAGTTTGGCAAGAGGACCTTAAAAATAAAATAAAAAAGGATCAAGGACATCTCCCTTGGCATCTACCTCAGTGTACATTTTACCAGGCAAAGACATACCAAGACCAGATGAAAATGTGTGTAGGTCCTAAGAATTTCTATTTTGCATCTTTATTCCATCCCTTCAAGATGAGCCAGGCCAGGAAATAGACATCAGATATGCGCTTTACAGGGCATTTAGAACAGAACAGAACAGAATAGAATAAGGATAGGATAGGAATAGGAATAGGAATAGGAATAAGAATAGAATAGAATAGAATAGAATAGAATAGAATAGAATAGAATAGAATAGAATAGAATAGAATTTTTTATTGGCCAAGTGTGATTGGACACACAAGGAATTTGTCTTGGTGCATATGATCTCAGAAAAGAAAAGATACATTCATCAAGAGTCAAGAATACACTTAATAATAGTCATAGGGTACAATAAGCAATTAAATCATACTAGGAACAGTTAATAAAAATAGTTAGGATACAAGCAACAAGGTTATAGTCATATAGTCATAAGTGGGAGGAGATGGGTGAAAGGAACTATTGGGAGGATTAATAGTAACAGAACATAATAATAGAATCTGAAAGTCTTGACAAAAAATATCCTATACAAAAGTGGGGCAGCCTTATCTTTTTCATTCATTCTCTCCTTCAAGGCTAAACTGATGTTAATTTAACCACTCTTGCAGTCTGCAAATTGTCTATGACAAATGATGTCACAGATTTGAGGATTTGACAATAATTCCTGTTTTAACAAAAATAAATCCTGTTTTAACAAAACAGGAAAGGATTTGTTGGTGGAACTGGCCCCGATTTCAACGAAGATCATTCAAGTAACAGATTCCAATGATTCTTTCCCATCCCAGATCAATTTATTCTAGAAATGCCCAGAATAAACTAGTTTCCTTGTAGATAAGACAGGTGCCTACTGGGTATTTATTAAACAAATTCCTGTTATTCCCACACTTGTATACAAAATAAATACATAAACAGGGACAAATATGCTCAACCCAAATATCTGACAAATTGAATGAAACCTCTTTCTGAACGCTTGTTCAAATGCTTATTATTTTGGAAACTGTGGAGCAAGCACTCTAAAATAGCTTTAAAAAAAATCCTCTGTGGCAAAGTTTGCATCTTACACAATTATAAGTGAAGGCTCTCCACTCTGAATTCTCTAGGATTTGGTTTTGTTTGTTCTGCAGAAAACTCAACTTATTACAGACTAAAATGAAATCATACAGTGCACATATTTGCCAACTGCAGTTCACCACAATCAAAGCATTGGCACAGGAACTCACTCGAGAGATTTAAACTTTAAATGCTAAATCTTTTCCGCCCGTTTTCCTAAATCAACGGGGTATTCTGCTGCCTTTGTGGTAGGCAGCTACAGACGTTATGTTAACATAATGATTCTCCTTATATCTGAAAACCACCGGATCCTGTCATTCAAAGCTCCTATCAAGTGAACAAATTCAGTAAGTAAATAAACGAATAAAATGTACATTAGACGCGCGATAAATATAACTTAATTCTACGTGGACAAGTGTGTTTACTGATCAGGGAAATGTTTAGAAGCTACTTGGATTATCCCAAAATGCAATTATTAGCGTTGTCGATAAATAAGATAAGATGCCTATAACAGAATTACGAAAAACCCCAAACAGCCGCGAGGAATCCTGGGAAACCCATTCGGACAGGCCCGCTTTCCATTCACCTCAGGAGAGATGCGCCTCCTCAGGTTTCCCGCCCTCATTAATATGAAAGAAATTAATGGCTCGTTCTTCCTATTAAAGGAAGCGTAGTAGGGGGAAGAGGCGGGAACATCGCTATCCCTGCCTTCTTCCGCCTCCACAAACCGAGTCGGTGTGACCGTCGCCCTCCGTGACGTCATCGGTCGGGGCCGCGGCCTTTTGCACAAGGGGGTGGGAAACTTGAGAGTAGGATGGCGGCGGGGCCGACGCGGCCCCCTCGGCCCCGGAAGGAACCGCAGCCGCTGGTCATTCCCCGGAGTGCCGCAGAGGAGCAGCGCCTCAAGCTAGAGAGGCTAATGAGGAATCCGGTAAGGGGGCGGGGTGTGTTGGTGGGCGTGGCTACTTGTCCTTTGGCTCTCCTCAGCCTTTCGGAGGTTGAGTAATGAGACCTGGCTGCTTTAATGAGAGCACTTGGTTCTTGGTTACAATCATCGCAGAGGGCTGAAGAGGGAGATTTGTCCCCGTCATCCCGTTTTTTTCCTCAAGTTTGTGGCTTGGCTTCAGATACTTCTATTACGTCCCTGAGTAGAAGAGTTAAACGCTTCCCCTTCCTCAGTATGAAGATTTAGTGTCATAAGTCCTGCCCGTTTCGCTGCTGGTTGGTGGAATATAGAATTGGATCTATCAAGGCAGCCTGACATTTATGCATTCAGTATTATGATAGTTTGGATTTGCAATGTGTAATCAAGTATGGAATACCTTACATAGGTTAAAACCAGTCGTGATTTCTCTCCACAGTTGGAATCTGTATGCAATTTAATAGCCTTAAATAATGACTCCCTTCGGATATATCAAGCGTGTTGCTTATTTTTCACTGCAGGATAAAACAGTTCCAATTCCTGAAAAGCTGAATGAATGGGCACCCCGCCCACCTCCAGAATTTGTCAGAGATGTTATGGGTAAGTTGTGAGGGTTTTTTTTAGGTGGTTTCTTGGTTTTGTTCATTAAGGAGGAAAAACAGACAGGAGTTTTGAAGAGTAAAATTGATGGGTGTCAAGGAAAAGTTTGAAACTTTTTTCAGAGGCAGTTTTTGGTCCCACTTTGCACTTTGTTATTAGCCTTAACAAACTCATAAAATTTCTCTGATCCATGGATGTTATTGTATACTTGCAACTCTGAACCCCCTGATTCTTAATGTTTCAATTTTATAACTGTATATGGAGAGATTTTGAAGAATGATTTATATCTCTGTTTGTTGTGAGATATTGCAGAGAAAATCTGAGATTTTGGTGGCCATGGATGTGAATTTATAGTATGATTTTAACAAGGTGCTGCTTTCTCAAAATCTTGCCCTTTACTTAAAAGCAAAGGAGGTAGTAAAGTAACTCTTACGGCATAGATGATGAGAAATGCCTGCACTATGCACAACCAAAGATATTTGCTGAATAAGATGACTGGGGCTTTGCTTTGCATGATTTACTTCAATGCTTCATGTAATTGATCTTCATAACGATTTAGAATAAGTTGTACAAAATAATTTATAAAATGTGTGAATTTACATTATTTCATGCACCGTCCTCTACTTGTGACAAAATTTAAAACTTTTTCTATTGGTCCTAGGGAATATTAATAGCCTTTGTCAATTCAAAGAGTGTTATTATAACAAACCAAGGAACATAACTGACATTTGCCCTTTCTAGCTTTGAGGAGGGCGCTGAGAGCAAATGCTATAAGTGCCTGTAAAGCTCACCTTGCCCCCAACAATCTGTCAGTGGAAGTAGTTTTTTTTATTTTTTTCCTCTTTTTAAAGAAGAGTGTTGGGGATGGGGGATGGAATGGTTCTCAGGGAAGGCAGAGGAGGGCGTCCTATTTCAGTGGTGTCGGGTAACAGGAGATATGGGAGACAAGGGAGAGGGCAGGCACAGAGAACACGACCTTGGTGTTTAGTATCGATCTCATGTTATGCCCCATTGCACTCACCTCATTTTCTTGGTCAGCAGATCTATGGTGGCCCTGGTCTTAAACTGCTGCTTTTAAATGTGAGATCGCCTTGCAATAAGGCTAGCCTTATTGCCGATTTGATCCTCGAAGAGAAGGCTGATCTGGCTTGCATAACTGAGACCTGGCTGGGCCCAAAGGGAGGCATTCCTCTTGTAGAAATGTGCCCAATGGGTTATCAAGCATGGCACCAGTCTAGACCTCAGGGCCAGGGAGGAGGTGTGGCTGTTGTCATCAGAGAATCTCTAGTAACCTCCCAGAGGAGGCAACTAGACCCTTTTTCTTAGGTTGGGCTCAAGGGATCAGGTGGGATTGCTACTGCTATTCCAGCCTCCCTGCTGCATGGCAGCTTCCCTACCTGGGCTCCTGAACCTCACCTCAGGGCTGGTGGTGGAATTCCCCAGGATGATAGTTCTGGGGGATTTCAACCTGCCTTCTCTGGGATCGGGGTCGGAGGTAGCCAGAGATTTCATGGAGACCATGATTTCCATGGGCCTGTCCCAGATTATCCAGAGCCTGACTAGTAATAATGGTCACATTCCCGATTTGTTGTTCTTGTCGGAGCAGTGTCTACGTGACCTAGAATTGGTAGACCTGTCCTTGGTCCCCTTGTCATGGTCAGATCTGGTGGCAATGAGTCTCTCAAAAGCTGCATCCCCCTCAGCAAGGCAGGACCTAGTAGATTGGTCTTCCCCATCCACTAATGGACCCAGATGAGTTCCAGAAGGAGCTGAGGGTTATAACTGCAGATCTATTATGCAATTCAGCTGAGCTCTTAGTCACTGTATGGAATAGGAAGGTGACTAAGGCTCTGAATAGGATTGCACCCTTGCGACCTCTCCTCACCTGTCGACCTCTCTGTGCCCCGTGGTATACAGAGGAACTGAGAGGGATGAACCGTCTGAGGAGACGTCTAGAGCGCTGCTGGCGGAAGACAAGAGATGAACTCGATCGAATACGGATAAGAGCTGCTACTAAGGCCCACCTTGTGGGTGATTTGTGCGGTGAAGTGTAGATACTTCTCCACACTAATTGCGTCTGCAGATAATCACCCAGCAACACTGTTTAAGGTGAGCCATCTCCTCCTAGGCGTGCTGAGGAATTTGCAGATTTTCTGGAAGACAAAATCACTCGACTTTGTTCCCAGTTAGATGCCAGCATGGTTGCTGATCCGATGGAAGCTCCTGAGGCAGGTTCTTACCCTGTTATCTGGGAACGGTTTGACCCTGTTGCTCCTGAGGAAGTTGACAGGATCCTAGGGAGTATGCACGCGAGCACCTGTATTTTAGACCCATGTCCCTCCTGGCTTGTGAAAGCTTCCCAGGAGGTCACAGGCAGGTGGATTCTGGAGGTGATTAATGCTTCTCTACAGGAAGGGACAGTGCCCCAACACTTTAAGGAGGCTGTGGTCCGTCCTCTTCTTAAGCCATCACTGGACTCCACCCAGTTGGGTAATGTCCAACCTGTCTTCAATCTTCCTTTTTTGGAGAAGGTTGTTGAGAAGGTGGTCGCACAGCAGCTCCAGAGATTTCTGGATGAAACGGATTATCTTGACCCTTACCAGTCGGGATTTGGGACAGAAACGGCATTGGTCCCACCCAGAAATGGCATTGGGGGTAGTGCACCCATCCTTATTCTACTTGACCTCTCGGCAGCTTTTGATACCATTGACCATGGGATTCTCCTGGGGCGGCTTCAGGGGATGGGAATGGGAGGTCTTGTGTGGTCTTGGTTCACTTCCTTCCATTGCGGCCTCTCTCAGTCAGTGTTGATAGGAGGGAAGAGATCCAACCCACACCCACTGCTTTATGGGGTTCCACAGGGCTTGGTACTCTCTCCACTCTTATTCAACATTTATATGAAACCGCTGGGTGAGATCATCTGTCACTATGGACTGAGGTATCACCAATATGCTGATGATACTCAGCTGTATGTCTCGGCCCGTGGTGAGTTAAGTGTTGCTGTGTCCTCCCTCTCGCAGTGCCTGGAGGCTACTTAGGGGTTGGATGGGGAGCAATGGGTTGAAACTAACCCTTGCAAGACCAAATGGGTTTGGGGTTCATTGGTTCAGGGACAATTACCACCTTTAGTCTTGGATGGGGTGGCACTACCCCAAACAGACCCTGTGCATAACCTAGGGGTTTTCCTGGACTCACGACTCCTGTTCGAAGAGCAGGTGGCGGTCGTGGCCAGGAGGGTCTTTGTGTAACTGCAGGTTGTGTACCACTTATGCCCTTTCCTAGATCAGCAGTCCCTACTCACAATTACTGATGCCCTGGTCACGTCACGTCTTGATTATTGCAACGCGCTGTACATGGGGCTGCCCTTGAAGAGCATCCAGAAGCTCCAGTTGGTGCAAAATGCAGCAGCCCGCCATGGTTTTATGCAGACCCCGGTGTGCATGTGTCACCTCTCCTGCAGGAGCTGCATTGGTTGCCAATTTGCTTCTGGGTGCAATTCAGGGTGCTAGTTATCACCTTTAAAGCCCTTCATGGCTTGGGTCCGGGTTATCTAAGGAAACATCTCTTGTCAATCACATCCACCCAACCCACTAGAGTGAGGAGGCAGGGAATGTTGCAAGTCCCACCCCTGAGGGAGATTCACCTGGTGGGACCCAGAAGAAGGGCCTTCTCCGGGGTGGCTCCGTCTCTCTGTAACATCATTCCCCCACTCTAGCTCTCTTCCGAAAGGCACTGAAGACCTGGTTTTGCCAGCGGGCCTGGGGAACCCAGAGAGGAATGGAGCCCATTAGGTGGCTAGTGTGATCTGCTGTCGTCGGGGTGGGGGATGGGAGTTGGTTTTTTATTTTCTCCCATATTTTGTTCTATTGTACTTTACTAATGTATTTGATTTTTTTTGTTAGTTTTTGTTTTTATTTTTTGATTTAAATATGATTTTACATTGTGTAAGCCGCCTCGAGTAGCCATGGGCGAATAGGCAGCAATATAAATAAAATAAATAAATAAATAAATATCCGCAGAAGTTCATACTTGAGCTAGTATTAACAAAATGAAAAATAACTCTCATATTTGCATTGTATTTAATTTTTCATAAAATAGCATATGCTTCATAGATGATCTTGTGTAAAGATTATGTTCACATGACTGCTTTATTTAGTCTCTCAGTAATTTCAGAATCATAAAATGTAAATTGCCAAGGGGATTACTGTGGGTAAGAATGAACATGGGAACATTTTCCATTGGGTGGTGGGGCCTAGTAAGAGTGATTATACAAGTGAGCCTAGCCAGGATTTTATTTTATTTTCCTCCTGAATTTTGAGCTTTTTCATAGTTTTGATGATACTTTGTCTGTTATATTGGGGTTACATTGAAATTTTAATGTATTTCTTATGTCAAAATGGTGTTAAGCCACTGGTTCTTGGCAGATTTGGGGTAAGCTATATGGATTGAAATAGTTTTGACTATTTCATATCCAATTTGTTTCTTCTAAATGGTAATAACTTTCCAAAGATTTAAAGAGACTTTACTCAACTGAACTATTTGGGACCCTTAAACTGTTGGAGATTGAGATGGAATATTTTGCTTCAGCCATATATGTTTTTGCTTTTGCTTTTTTGACAGGTTCAAGTGCTGGCGCTGGAAGTGGGGAATTTCATGTCTATCGACATCTTCGGCGCCGAGAATATCAGAGGCAAGATTTTATGGATGCTATGGCTGAGAAGGTAAAATGACTTTCCCTCAAAAGCTTTGATGATATTGATTACCTCGAGAATCCTTGCTGTTCTGTAAACTACAAAGAGGTCTACTTTCTCCCCTCTCTCCCCTTCCCTCTTTGATCCTCTCCAAGAACAAAGTATTAAATACTCATGCAGGTATTTGTATGTTTTCTCTCTCTCTCTTTCGTTTTCATTTGTTTGCTCTTTTCTTCCCATCAGAAAACTTTACTGATATTTTTTTCCTCTTTAGCCTATTTTTCCTTCCTTTCAAAATGTATTAAACATATATTTACAAGCTAATCGTTTCCTAGGTACTAATCTTCTGAGTGTGCAGAAAAATACAGTTCCTTATTTTTGGATGACCATGTTGTTATATAACACATGCGGCCTTCTATTCCCAATACATCCAGCTATGTGTTTGGGAAGTCCAGAACCAGGACATGAATCAATAACATTCATATATTCAAAGATACAACTTTACACAAATCCACTTAGCATTATAAGACAGCTTTTTTGAAATGTGCATTTTTGATAAATTGTATCAATACACTTTGATTGAAGTGTTTACAATTTCAGATTTAATTTATTGCATCTATTCTTTTAGCAAAAATTAGATGAAGAATATCAGAAGAAGCTTGAAAAGAATAAGATAGTTGCAGAAGAACAAACAGCCAAACGTAGAAAGAAGCGGTAAGATCAAGCTGTTCTTGGTTGCTGAAATAGAAACTCTAAAGAGCTTCTGTTTTAGCTATAGCAGAATTATCTTTTTATTCCAATTTAATTTTCTCATTTAATAAATTTAATAACTAAATTTGATCTCGTGCGCTATCTCATTAGTTTCTGCATTGGCCTAATTTGAGGGAGATGCCTTATATCATGCTTGTCTTTTCTTTATTTTTGACCAGGATTATGCGTTTCTTAAGTTCCAAATTAAACTTAGCTCATCTCCTTCACTTAAAATTAGTAATGAAAATGAAGATATTAGCAAAAAAAAAACCATGAGGATGTAAGAACAAAAAGATGTGATGAAAAATACTGTTTTTAAAACTGAGGAAAAGGTAAAATACTATATATGGGTATTAGTATGACTAATTTGAATTGTATGTTATTTCAAAACAATTATGTTAAAACAAAATGAAACTAAGAAGGGTATGCTAAGATGAGAGAAATTACTGTTATTGCTGAGAATTTCTGTGATAACTCAGTATTGCTTAGAATCATGTTTTTGTTTTAAACAGTACCTATTTGGGCAACTGATATGCTGTTTAAGCAATGGCAGAAAGATACATCGTAGTTTTAAGGGGAAAAAGCAAGAATTAAATATAAAGTGCTCTAAGATGCAAAGGAACAAGAAGGATTGGGACTGACTGATTCAAAACTGTATTTTGCAACCTTCTCTTCCTCCTGGTTTGGATGAAGGAGTGGATGATGCAGAGGAAAAAAGAGAATTCTGAGAAAAAGAAAGGCATGGCTGGAAGTTTTGATGGCATGGATTTTTATGATACAATAAAGTTAAGTTTAATGTAGCTTTTTTAAAAAATAGAAGTGCTCTCGAGTCTAGCGTGTGGCTTGGCATTTTGAGGGGTAGCGCTCTATCTGTCACAAGCTATGAATTAAAAGGTTCCACCATCGAGGTATGTGTCCTGACTGCTTTGTCCCTGCATGTGCTAGTCAACAATAACTGAGAAGTGCCTTGTTGAGAATATGGCATAGATATAAATCCAAATTCTGCCCGAAAATGTCTAAGAAAGAAAAGTGAGATTGTTAACCTAGTGAGAGTTATTATAAGAGCAAGCTAAAAATAAGACGAAATCAAGAGATCAATTGACTACAGAGGGATTTATTTTTCAATGGTTTTATATGCGGTTAAAGAGAAAGATTTAAGGTAGATAACAAGACGTTTGTAATTGAACAGCACAAGACAGAATTTGAATTTGAACTAGATGTACAGATGATCATGAAATTGAAATGGAAGAAGTGAAAGTGTCTGATGAAATGAGCTAAGAACTTTGGATAGAGTATACTGATGGAACAATGAAAACATGTGGCTGAAAGGACTGAAATTTACATTATGCTATCATTTAAAAGAGATGATACAAATTCTGTGATGCAATTCATATATTAAACTGTAGGTGACCACTGGTCTTTGCAAGCTGTTGAAAAAAATTCCCTAAGTGCAGATTATTTATAGCCCAGTATTCACAGTTCAGCATCTTGTAAAGAATAAGATGAATAAGATAAACCTAATATTTTTTGATTTTGGGGCAATGGGTGGAGAAGGCTTCTCTAATTACTAAAGAGTAAAAGAGATGGAAGAGAAAACATTTAACAGCTATTTTCATCTATTTTATTAAATATGAATTTGTTTGCAACATTAAAGGTTGTTATTTGAACTTTACATCTTTACAAAGATTAGAGTTAAAAACTGCAGAGTTTGAAAAGAGGAGTTATTCATTTAATCTATTTAATTTCTCTTTTGTTTTCTTTGCAGTCAGAAATTGAAAGAAAAGAAATTGCTGGCAAAGAAAAATAAAGTTGAGCAAAAGAATGAACATGCAGGTAACTTAACTGTTGTAAACTTGAGGTTAGCCTAGAAGAAAGTTTATTTTCTCAATCCCAGAAATCCCATTTCTGTCCAATTCAGTAGAAATTGTATGATTGCAGGAACAACATGTGCCACATATATTACTGTGGGTGTCTTTCAAAGGGGCCTTCAGCTAAGAGACCTGTTCAGATAATCCTCAACTTATGGCTGTAATGGAGCCTACCCAATATAGTTGCAAGTGGTGACAGTCATTAAGCAAGATCGCCTCACTTAATACTCCACTCATTGGTCTCCCTGATGTGGTTGTTAAACAGAGCAGGATGAGGGAGGCTGGGAGGCATAGCACAGGCCTGCCAGGACTGCATGTCCTGGGCCTCCCAATGCCTCCTGCACTTCCTGACACATCCCATGATCCATTTCCTGCCCTTCAGGGTCCCCACAGCCCTTGAACTCGTTCCCCCACTGGATCCCTGCAGGCCTTGGGCCTGCTTCTCACTCCCATTGGGCCCCAAACCTTCCTCCTTGCTTACCTTTTGTAGATCTCCAGATCTCAGGAGATTGGGTTAAGGAAAGGAGGGCAGGCCTTTATGTTGTTGAGCCACATGGTGCAATCCTGGAGGCAGCTGCCATTTTCCAAGAGGCTGCATTGAATTGTGCCTATTCAGAAAATGAGGCCACTTCTGGCGTTGAACCCCATGGCCGAGCAACAAAACTGCCTGCTTTGCTTTGGTAATGTAAGCTCTTGGCATTCCACATTGCCAGAATGCAGCAGAGCTCATGTTAGTGAAGCAAAGCAAGGGATTCTATTGCTGGGCTGCATGGTGCATCTCCATTTTCCGAATGGCCACAATTTAATGTAACCTCTCAGAAAATGGTAGCTGCTTCCTTTTCTCCCAATGAGGGAAAGAAGGCAAAGCGATCATGGAAGTATAGTTCCATTAAGGTTGTAAGAAGTGCAGTTCACTTTTGTATTGTAATAAGCAATTTGAAACAGTGGAAGAAAAAGATTTTCTATAATATGAAAAATAAAAACTCCTCACAAGAACACCATACATGATGTCATCCAGTGGTAGAGCTGGAGAGATAGAGTCCTCTCCCTCTGTGGATACAGCAAGGGGGAAAAGAAGAATTCTTTACTAATTAATTCTTCCCTAACCTGATGCCCTTGGGAGAGATGGGACTAACTTCCAGAAGTCCAGCTGCCAGGCAGGGAGAGGGAGATTGACTACATCCAAGCCTGCCAACTTGAGGAAGAAAGACTAATCCAATTTGGGGAAGACTGGGGACTAGATCTAAAAAGTCTGCAAAGGTTTCCAGTATTTTTACATTATTAAATTTCTACCCTTCCCATCTCAGGTAATTCTGGATGGTTTACAGCAACATAATAAAACCATGTAAACAAGTGAATAAAAACACAGATTAAAATAGAGTTAAGAACAAGTTAAAACCTACAAGTAAAAATCAAAATTAAAAAATTCAGAAGGCTAAATGGTTAACGAGGTAGTGGAAGTGCTCTCAAGCCACTGCCATCCCCAGGGTGGCATCATAATCTTAGCCTGCCATGCTAACTAACATAAAGAGAATAGCCCTTTCTTCTTTCAGATGCAGTCTGCTTCTGAATGTAAAATTCTGCTTGATTCTGATAATGAATGCTAGTATATTAAACTTTCATTACTTTAACCAGACCTTTTCTTCTTCTTATGCTTGTGTTTTGCAGCTGCGGATTCTGATCATTCCCCCAAACAGCAGACCAGTGAAGAAGAGACTTCCGAGGAAGAAGAGAAAGATGATGTGAAGGAAACTAGCTTTGTGATGAAGAGATGATGATCTTGCTACTCTACTGTAGTTAATAGCCAGCTAGCATTGAGCTAAAACCGAATTGAACAAGAAAGTTTTTCTGCTCTTTTGGACCTCCTTGTGGCATTGTTGATATGGCCATAATAGTCCCATGGAATATCATTGCTGGATCCAAATCAAATGAAAGTTGATTTCAAACTTTCTTGTATAACTGCTATGCAGGGTTTCAGGGAAAAGCGTCAGCATCATGTAACTCTAGTTCCTCTGCTATTGCTCCAAAGTAACATTTCTTTTATCAGCTTATGTCTGTAAGCAGATCTCCTGAGACTTAAATATACAAAATAGAGTTATGTGGCTGAAAAATGGACTTGACTTTGAGGCAGGAAATAATTTCTATTTCCTGGAGGAAAAAAATTTAATTTCTTGAGGAGTCTCTATTAAATCAGCCTTTATTCCTTGCATTTCTGCTGCAAGATAAGATTTTCCAACAACCAAGAAGATCTGTTGTTTCACTTCAGAAGTATGGTGTTCATTTTTATTATAAACATTTCTGAATAAAAAAAAGAGGACATCCAAGTGTTTGTTTTTCTGCCTCTGAAGGATACACGCTGCATTTTATATGGACTTTCATCCATGAATTTACCTGCCAAAAACATGTAGCCATTTAAGATAAATAAATCTTCCATATTCACTGCACTATACATTTGAGCAGTTAGGAAATAACAGTTCTTGAGTTTCCAGCTTTATCTGGCTGATCAGTGTGTGAAAAAAGATACTCAAAACATTTCATTCTCAGTTTTTAATTTTGGTATAATCTTTAAGTGGGTCTTCCGTCTTGAAATACAGTTGCAGCATTCCTAGAGTGGTAAATCAACTGTTTATATACATGGACTGTCAAAATAAAAAATGGTAAAAAACATAATTTCACCTAACGTGTGAATTTTGCAGCTGAGGCCCATGCAAAAATAGAAGCTTCTCTCCTATTTTACTTGATTCATCTACAAAATCATAATCTAAAGTTATACAGATAAAACATTCTAATAAAGATTTTAACTTTGCAACAGAGCACATCCTAGTGTAACTGATTCATGTCTGATGAAATTGTTTTGTGACTCATAGATGTGTGTTGATATAGAAACTGATCAGGAAGTTATTCCTTTCTGCACTATGGAGAAATCAAATGCTTTTCTGCAGCCTTAATAGGCCAACTACCTAAGTTGAATGTTGAGTATAGTTTATATGTAAATAAATATGTTCAAGCCAGAACTGGGTTCCTTTGAGACAGAATTAGCTATGAACCTTTAGAGACATGTTCTTTGAAAAAGCAAAATAAATGGCGTTACTTGCGAACAGACATCTTTGGAGACCAGTTCATGCCAATTTTTAAATAGTTGTGCCAAGCTCCCAAAAAATAAGACTCTGTTGTTGAGATTGGATTAAATAAATATTGACTGATTGGTTTGAGGGGGAGGGAACGTTATTGCTTCGGGACTAATTTTAGGTTAGAGTCCATCTTTTTTATTCCAAATTCGAAAGGAGATGCATTTTCCACATGCTCAGATTAATAATATAAGGCCCGTATCTTTAGAAAGCAAGTGAAAAACCTCCCACTTTTCTTAGAAAAAGGGCGGAACATTTGCTGGTTAAGGCAGTGAGGGGGGGAAAAAAACTTGCCTGTTCACTGAGAAAAAAGGACAGATGCTCGAAAAACTCAAAATATTCAGGTCCAACTGGGGGTAAAAACCGGCTCAAAACGAACTTATTTCCCAGTTAAAAAAGAAAAAAGAAATATTTGCAACGCAGAAAAGAGCACGAGGCCCCTCCCGCCATCTCATTCCCCCAAACGGCTCAGCGGGAGAAAAACGCTAAGCTGGAGAAGGAAAAACGAAGGATGCCCTCCGTCACATGTTTGCTACTATCGCGAGGTCACGTGACAAGGCCTTGGCGTTGCCTTGGCAGCACCGCAGGCGACGGCACTGGCGTTCCTGTAGCCGCCGCCGCCCGTAGTCCATGGGGTAAGTCGGCGTTGGGCGTGGGGGGGGGGGTGTCTGGTGTTGATGGGTGCCTTGGCTACTTTGCATATTCGCATATTCATAGATGCATAAAGAGGTAGTTAAGAGTGGGTGGGAGGCTCTGTCCGCCACGATGCAAAAAAAGTGAGGCTTTGGCAAGGCGTGGGAGGATTCAGAAGAGCTTCCTCCTCTTTGCATCGAGGTCCTCCTGTTCGCCGGACACGTTTAACCAGCTGAAGTAAAGACTTGGCAGACGGCAAAATACGCTCAACTTGGATTAGCATTAAGCCTGCTTTTGTGTTTCGTGGCTTAGTGCAGCGGTCTCAAACCTTGGCAACTCTAAGCCTTGGCAACTTTAAGCCTGGCGGACTTCAACTCCCAGAATTCCCCAGCCAGCTTTGCTGGGTTGCCATGGTTGGAGACCCCTGGCTTGGTGGATGCTGCGAATCCATAACCCATTTGTGTTCAGTGTGTTGTGTGGAAAGAGGTTAAACTAGGAACGGTGTTCTGCAAACGGAGTCATAAAATCTGAACTGTAAGCTTGTGTCTAGAGGTCGGCCTGCCATTAACGTTATTTCTATTGTAATGCAACAAATAATAATTGATAATAAACTACTCTTGTGTGTGTATACACACACACACACACACACACACACACATATATGGTATTCAGCTTTATTCGGGTATTTTCCCACATCATTATAGTTGTGTTTTTAAAGTTGTAGCAACGTTTTGGCAGAATCTCAATTGTGTTGTGTTCAATACAGACTAACATAATACAGAAGCCTGATGATGGCAGATGAGATTCTGCCGAAACGTTGCTACAACTTTATATATATATAAATACATGTATATATATAAATATATATATACAACTATGTATATGTATATGTATATATGTATTAAATATATATATTGCCTTGCCTGCTGCTTTCTGGGAATACTTTTCAAGTTACTGCTTCCACAATTTGTTAAATAAGTAAAGGCATTTTCACAGTATTCTTAATCTGCTATTGAATTCATTTTCTGGGTTTGCAGAAGACAATTAACTAGACTGGAGATACAGAACATATTAAAGTACAGAGAACTTAACAAAAGTTTACACCAAGCAAGCTTAATATATTGTGCAAATACAGCTGTCGCTCTTTAAAAGATGGGGTAGGTGGGAGAAGTTATACTGTAGTGTTATCGTGGATTCCTGCATTAGGCAGAGGGTTGGACTAAATGATCACTAATGTCCCTTTCAACCCTTATCTCCCATAAATCTATAAAACCATTCTACTCCCCAAAATCTTAAATATATACTGTATGGTTGCAGGAGTAGAGGACCACAGTTCGTGTATTTTGTGGCAGCAATCCAGTATTGCCTATCTTGATTGTGAAGGATTCAGATCAAATTCTTTTCAACTCTATGGGAAAAAAGTGGGTTTGAATTTGCAGAGTTCTGGCTTATTGCCAACATGCTATTTACTTCCACCTCAGAGTTTACCATAAGATTGTAACCTTCTCATTTCTAATCTCTAAGACTACATTGCTGTATACTTATACATATGAACATATTTTTCTGTCATTTCTAAGCGTCAGTAATATACCATACTGCTTTATAAAGTTTTCTAGGCAAAAGGAACAGTCCATATGTGCTAAAAGCTTGCTATCTGAAATAGGCAATGAGGAAGCAATATTGAGTGGGGAATGTTAAGAATATTCAGCATTTGCAATAGGAACCAGCTGAGGGTCAGCATCAAAAATGGGCTTGAAGCAAAGAAGCAGCTCCCAGTGGCAGGAAGTATCTGGAGTACCTTTTAAAAGCTAGAAGAACAGGAGCCCCTCTCTTCTTGGTATAGGGTATGCGCACGTGTATGCTTGAAAATTCTCAGAAGATCAGGCCAACACAATGTAGATGTGAGCTCTGTTTGAGAATTATGGATTTCAGTAGGTAAGTGATTAATACTCCAGATGAGATACTCAGACATTTTCTACTGAAATCTCTAAAAAAAATCTTGTTTTAGCTGGATCAGGCTCCCCCCAAAGGGTTTCTGATAAAATATATAGGGTGACATTAGCTGCTAAGGGAGGATGGAGTAGTTATCCAATCCAGACTGGGGAAAGGTGCTGTAGTTTTAATGGAAAAGAATATATTTTCAGGCAGGAGTATATGGAATATGTGTGCGTATATGTGTGTCTGCATGTTTTTTATATACCTTTTGCTCAGTATGTATTATTCGTCTTCCAATTCAACATATAAGCATTGCATTAAATATTCTCTCTCTCTGTCTCTCTCTTATTTTGTTTTCTTGTTTGCTGGTTTTTGGATAGCATAAAAGTGAGAAAATTGCTTTTTGAGATTTATTCTTAGGCAGGTCAGTACAGACTTAGCATGCTTGATCATTAAGTTGTAAGGAACATCATCTTCTCTGCATGAAATCAGCATGTTGTGAAAACGTTTGCACACACAGCAAGATGCCCCACCCAGAAGTGCTCTGGTATCGACAGGATAAGGAGTCCAATGCAAGAATTTACAACACAGGAAGAGAAAGCTAAAAGCAGAAGGTAATATTAATCACAATAACTCCACCAGAGAAAGGTGGAAACACAAGAATCTATTTATTACTTGATTATTTGCATCTGTGTACTGGAGTAATTTCCATAGCTATATGTGGGGAGCATATTGATTGGTGTATATACCTAGCAAGAAAAAAAGTGGTTTGTTTGAGATGATTATGTGCCATCGTCCATGGTGACTTCTGGCAACCGCATAGATAGATTTTCTCCATGACAGTCTTTCCTAACCTGGTCTTTCAAATGGTGCACTCATTATCATAATTGAGTCCACCCATGTTGCTGCTGGTTGTATTATTCTTTTTTTCCACCTTTCTCAGCATTGGAGCCTCTCCAGAGAGCTGGTTCTTCATATAATGTGTCCAGAGCAGGATGCATTTGTGCCTTGAATAAGAACTTGGGGTTGATGTGGTTGATGATCCACTGATTTATTTTCTGGATTGTCCACATAGTATTCTCAGGAGTGAGACACTGGAATAAATTAATTTATTTGCATGGAGTTACAAACTTTCAGTGGGGGTACACGATGGTGGCAAAATGATGCAGAATTCTCTTCTTGGTCACCTAATGGCCAGATATTTGCAGTCCAGCTATGTAAATCCTGGAGTAGTTGCCTCATCTGAATAAATGAATTGTGTCAAAACAAAAATAATCCTGCACATGGGAAGCATCCTGTGAAGACGTTAGAATAAGACTGGTATTGGAGGCAGGAATCTGGAACCAACGCTGATGGGTTACTGGAAGGGTTTTTCCAAGAATTCTATCTGTTCAATCCAGTCCCAACGGATTGGGTATGCTGCAGAACCTGTCAGCCACAGAGTGTTGACTGATGGGAACTAGAAAATGCCCTTTTTCTGCTGCAGCCCCTGCCTAATGGAATATTCTCCCTTCGGGAAATAAAATGGTCCCAACCCTGTTGGCTTTTCCCAAAGTTTAAATAACCTGGCTATGTACCAGGGCCCGGAGCTTGGAAAGCATTATGGGCCCTGTTATTTGACTTTACTA